GGTGTTGGCTGGGGCGGGGGAGGGGGGCAGGTGAGGACACACTGCGGTGGCCGGCCGTGTCCTCATCTTATCTGCGAGGCCTGGGCTCCAGGGCTGGTGGAGTCAGCACAGGCCCCTCCCAGGGCCCTGGTCACATGGGAGGCAGCCCCTCGGAAGGGACGTGTCCCTGGCTGCCTCTCTCCCAGGCGTCCCCCAGGCCTGAATGTGTCCTCTTGCTTCTGAGGCCTCTGACCCCCACACCCCAGAGGTCCTGCTGAGCCCAGGGCGGGGGTGCCCGAGGTTCCTGGGGAATTAACACCCCCACAGCCTCGTGTGGCCAAGAACCTCTGGCTGAGGGGCTGAGTGGCTTCTTGGGGTGATGAGTGGTGACCTCTGCAAGGAGGGGCGAGGGCTGGGGCAGGGCAGGGCGCCAGTGGCCTGTGGGCGGGTGTCGGGAGCTGGCCTGGCGGGGGGTGGGGATGGGGGGAGCCCTGTGCGGGGAGCCCATGGGTTCTTGGCACAAAGGGGACTCTGTTGTCACTGCCTCGGGCACCCCCTCTCTGGGGCAGGCTGTGCTGGGTTGGGGGTGCCCCTGGATTTGGAGGCCGTGGTGGGCACCTCCAACTGGCAGTCCTCAGTGGTGTGGGCATCTCTGCCCGTCCTGGTGGACAGCTCCTGGGGGGGCACTCCACGGGGTGGACGCTGTGCTTGCCTGCCTCTCGCCTGCCCCTGCCCTCATCGCTCTGTCTGTCCCTGCCCGTCCTGGCTTGCTGGGTGAGTTTGGGGCTTTCCTGGGGAGCCAGCTGTCGGGAAGACAGGCGAGAGCTGGCGGAGTCTGGCCTGCCCACTGCTGTCCTCGGGCATGTGGCCCAGGCCCGGGCTCGCCTCCCCGGGCCTCTCGAGGGGAGAGCGCTCACCGCCCAGAGCTCATACTGGAGGGGGATTGGGGAGCACGCTCAGCACCCACGGGAGGGGCCGTGGTCAAGGTGAGGGCAGGCGAGGGCGAGGGAGCAGGTGGCCTGGGTGTTCCAAACCCTGGTTATTTCTGGGTCCTCATCCCGGGCACCTCTTCCGCCCTCGGCTGGGTCCTCTGCCAGCGCCTCCCTCTGCCTCCCTGTGACCACCTCTGGCCCTGCTGCTGTCGCCGGGGTCGGCCTCCTGAGAGCCCAGTGACGGGTGACTGCCCCGAGTTATCTCTCCCCCTCAGCCGGCTGGCGGGCGGGCGGGGCTGAGGCTGCTCTGTGGACAGCCACCCTCCAGGCCTCTGTGTCCCTGCTGGGACACGCCCCACGCGAAGGGCCTGCGAACTAACGCCAGGTGGGCATGCTGGAGCCGGCCTGCCTGTCCCAGGGGTGCCCAGCCCGGCCCCAAGAGCTCTCACGCCCTGAGAGCTCACCCCATGTCTCACCTGCTCCCGAGGCGTCTCCACCCTGGACGCAGCCTCTGTGGGGCATGGGGTGGGGGCTGACATTGGACATTCACAGTCACTGGGGCTGTGTCCCTGCTCCTTGCCCTCCCGGGGCGGGGTGCTGAGCAGGTCCTTCGTCCTTCGTGGTGGGAGCAGGGGCCTCCCTGGGCCTGAGCAGGTGGACAGTGAGCCCACTGCTGGGCATCTGGTCTTCCCCTCTTCCCTCCCCAGGGCCCATGCTCGAGGGCTTTGGGGCTCCCCTCACCCTGGGTGCTGGGGGCGGGGAGGGGGCCCTCCTGTTCCCAGGCCCAGCAGTGCTGGTGCTGACGGGGTTTGGGGGCCTGTTCCTGCGGGCGGAGCCCCTCAGTTGGGGCGACCCCACCTGGGAAGAGCTGGGGGCTGTGAGCTGGCGGGCAGAGGCTCGGTGTCCTGCTCTGTGACTGGAGGAAGGGCCTGCGCCTGGGGAAGCCCTCAGGCATACGACCTTGTGTGTGGCGGGGGGGGGGGGGGAGGAGGGGTCTGCACGCCGGCCTGGCACAGGGCTTCTCCATCTCCTGGGTGGACTGAGTGGTGCATGCCGGAGCCACGGGGCCGGGGCCGGGGCCAAGCCGGAAGCTGGCCTGGCCGTGGCTCTTTGATTCCAGAGCCCGGATCCCAGCAGTTTCCGCACCTGAGGGCCATGTCCCTTCCCAGGGGTGGCCTGGGGCTCCCCCTGAGTGGGTCCCCCAGCCAGGATGCGTCACTCAGAGCAGCAAGCTGAGCCCTGACCAAGCCTCAGGCCTGGTCTGACTGGGCAGCTGAGGGCTGCACAGGGAGTTGGGGTCCACACCTCACTCTGACACCTCTCCTGGGACCTTAGCCCCTGCCCCAGACTTGGCAAATGAATGTTCTGATTGGCTCCTGCTCCTGTCACTCAAGGACATGACCTCAAAATCAAAACACCAGAGCCCACTTGGCTCTCGACGTCCTGTCTCCCTGCCACTAGCCAGCTGGCTAAGCCTGGCACGCAGGCCCCAGGCAGCTGGCGCCCACGCTCACTGCGGCTCCTGCCTGGGGCCCAGGTGGTGTGTGCAGGGGGCCCAGTGCCCAGGCCACACGGCTGAGACAAGCTCCCCAAGGGCTGCCATAACGGGGCCGGAAGCGCTCCCCTTCCTCTCACGCCTCTTCTCTGTCCCGCAGGAAATGGCCAATTCCGTCTACCTGGTCATGGAGGTGAGTCCCTGCAGGCCTGGCTGTCGGACAGGGGGCCCCGCCCTCCCAGCTCTTGGACCCCTTGTCACCTGGGCGGGGCAGGCTGCCCATGTCCTGTGTCCGTGGGCTTAGGGCACCCCACCCAGTAGCCACGGCAGGTGCCTGAGGGGTGGGGAGCACCCCTGTTGACCTCGTCAAGCCTGGATTGTGGGGACACCTGCCCAGGGAGGAGGGGCAGCACCAAGTGCCCAGGTGGAGGGCGGTGGGGAGACCGGGGCGGGACTGGAGGGGTGCCTGGCGTTGACGGGCGTGTGGCTGGTCTTTTGCAGTACTGCAACGGCGGGGACCTGGCCGACTACCTGCACAGTGAGTGGCACCCGTGGCCATGGGCTGCGTGCCCAGGCCCACCCTGACCCAGCCTCCGAGGTGGGCCCGATGGTGGCAGCCGGTCCTCCCCTCCTTCCGCACCTGCTGGGAAAGGTGGGAGGGGGACCGGAGCCTTCAGGGACAGCCCTTTGCTCCTGTTGAGCGGGGCCCTCTGAGTGGCCCCCAGGCCCGCAGGGCCCCCTGGTACCTGGCTGGCTGCTCTGCTGGGTGCCGGCTCCCCATAAGGGGCAGGGCCCCCGGGTACCTGGCTGGCTGCTCTGCTGGGTGCCGGCTCCCCATAAGGGGCAGGGCCCCCGGGTACCTGGCTGGCTGCTCTGCTGGGTGCCGGCTCCCCATAAGGGGCAGGGCCCCCGGGTACCTGGCTGGCTGCTCTGCTGGGTGCCGGCTCCCCATAAGGGGCAGGGCCCCCGGGTACCTGGCTGGCTGCTCTGCTGGGTGCCGGCTCCCCATAAGGGGCAGGGCCCCCGGGTACCTGGCTGGCTGCTCTGCTGGGTGCCGGCTCCCCATAAGGGGCAGGGCCCCCGGGTACCTGGCTGGCTGCTCTGCTGGGTGCCGGCTCCCCATAAGGGGCAGGGCCCCCGGGTACCTGGCTGGCTGCTCTGCTGGGTGCCGGCTCCCCATAAGGGGCAGGGCCCCCGGGTACCTGGCTGGCTGCTCTGCTGGGTGCCGGCTCCCCATAAGGGGCAGGGCTCCCCGGGCTGTGCCGCAGGCGGGTCAGTCCCTGTACCCACTCCTCCCCCCACATCGGTTCAGCCCCTGGATCCTTGAGAGCCCAGCCTCGGGGCTCAGTGCCGAGCTGCAGGCCGGGGGCTTGCCAGGAGGGGATGCTGAGAAGGAGTGGGGGGGGGACAGCAGGGAGCTGCCCTGGGGTGACATTGATCGGTCAGAGCTGGGCAGGCAGCCCTGGTGGCCTCAGGTGGCCAGGACACGTACCTGCAGAGTGGGTGACGGGCCACAGACCCCGGGGGCTGTCGGGGGCAGCGGGTCCCATCACGGTGTGTGGGGCCCCTCCAGCAGGAGGAGGAAGGGCCTGTGTGGTCCCCGTCCCCCGGGAGAGCTGCGCCCTGAGCCCCGTCTCCCCACAGCCATGCGGACGCTGAGCGAGGACACCATCCGGCTCTTCCTGCAGCAGATCGCGGGCGCCATGCGGCTGCTGCACAGCAAGGGCATCATCCACCGCGACCTGAAGCCCCAGAACATCCTGCTGTCCAACCCCGGCGGGCGCCGCGCCAACCCCAACAACATCCGCGTCAAGATCGGTGAGCCCGGCAGGGGGGCCCGCGGGCGCAAGGAGGGGCTGCCTGCCCTGCTGGCGTCTGTCCTGCTCACACGTCTGTCCTCTCCTGCAGCCGACTTCGGCTTCGCCCGGTACCTGCAGAGTAACATGATGGCCGCCACGCTCTGCGGCTCCCCCATGTACATGGTAGGTGGCCACAGCCTGTGCCCTCCCTGTCCACAGCCGCTGTCCTGTGGCTTCACTTGGGTGGTTGGCCAGTATGGCTGTCCCATTGTTTCTGGCTGGCACCTGGCGGGTATCTGCTCTGATTGGCTGGCACCTGGCGGGTGTCTGCTCTGATTGGCTGGCACCTGGTGGGTGTCTTCTGATTGGCTTACACCTGGCGGGTGTCTGCTCTGATTGGCTTACACCTGGCAGTGTCTTTCTGATTGGCTTACACCTGGCGGGTGTCTGCTCTGATTGGCTTACACCTGGCAGTGTCTTTCTGATTGGCTTACACCTGGCGGGCTGTTCTGATTCGCTGGCACCTGGTAGGTATCTGTTCTGATTGGCTGGCACCTGGCAGGTGTCTGATTGGCTGGCACCTGGCGGGGGTCTGCTCTGATTGGCTTACACCTGGCAGTGTCTTTCTGATTGGCTTACACCTGGCGGGTGTCTGCTCTGATTGGCTTACACCTGGCGGTGTCTGCTCTGATTGGCTGGCACCACACTAGGTCAGTGCTCACTCAGTGTCCATTGTTTCTCGCCTGCAGGCCCCCGAGGTCATCATGTCCCAGCACTATGACGGGAAGGCGGACCTGTGGAGCATCGGCACCATCGTGTACCAGTGCCTGACGGGGAAGGCGCCCTTCCAGGTGAGTGCCCGGCTCGGGGCTGCCTGGCTCCGCAGCGCTCCGCGGGGAATAAAGAGGGACACGCACAGGCTGGGTCTTCCCCACAGGGCACTGCCCCCGGGCGGCCAGCTTCTCGGGTGGGGGCATGGGCAACCCCTCCATTTCAAGGAGCAAACAACCAATTGCACCAGACCCCGGGGGTCCCCCAAGGCCGGCTGCCTCTTCAGACAGTGGGGCCCCGTGGCTGCTCAGCCTGCTGGGGGCGGGCAGGACCGTCCCAGAGGTGAGCAAGGGCTCATGCCCCAGGCCGAGCGCCTCGGGGGATGGAGCAGCTGCCCAGTCCACTGGGGCCCTCACACCCTCGTCCCCCACCAGGCCAGCAGCCCCCAGGACCTCCGCCTCTTCTACGAGAAGAACAAGACCCTGGTGCCCATGTAAGCCCCTGGCCCGGCCCCATCCCCAGCCCCGGCCCCGGCCCTGGCCTCCGAGGAC